TCTTGCTCAGGCTGGTCTCGAACTCCTGAGCTCAAACAATCCGCCCGCCTCGGCCTCCCAGAGTGTTAGGATTACAGGCGTGAGCCACCACGCCCGGCCTTGAATGCATCTCTTATAAATTTACCCTTCTTTTCATTTTTCTTATAATTTTTTTGTTTGTCCTGAGGAGTTGCCCACATTCTGGATTTTGCTGAGTGTATCCTTTTATTATTCTTTAACATGTTTCTCTCAACCCTGAATTTCATGAAGTGACAAGGATGTTTGATAGATGATGTTATATATTTCCTATGTATCACATCAGGTGGCATAGATGTCTGATTTTATCTTTTTGTGGAATTAGAATTTATCTGTGAAAACGCTTATCACCTTTTTGTACCAAATTATAGCATATAAAAATTTGAAGACAAATAGACTGGTCAATTTAAGAAATTTAGCAGGAAAACAATTTTTTAAAAAAAGCTGAATGATAGAAAAAAAGCAAGGAAAGCAGACGAAATGAACTATACCAGATAAAGCAGAAAACATAAACACAGTAGAATGTTTTCAACTAGTTCTTAGAAGTATGTCAATGTAATAAGCAAACCCTGGACAAATTCAAGTCAGAAAAATGGTGAGAGAACACATAAGTTAGAAATAGGAAAAGATTCTTGAGTAACTTTGGCAACAACAACAATAAAAAAGAAATAAAAAGACTGTAATGTCCTTAGGGTTGGGTGTAGTAGCTTATGCCTGTAATCCCAGCAGTTTGGGAGCCTGATGCAGGAGGATGGCTTGAGGCCAGGAGTTTCAGACTAGCCTGGGCAACATAGTGAGACCCCCATCTCTAAAAGAAAATTTAAAAATTAGCTGGCTGTGGTGGTGCATGTTTGTAGTCCCAGCTACTGGGGAGGCTAAGGCAGGAGTATCACTTGAGCCCAGGAGTTGGAGGTTGCAGTGAGCTATGATGACGCCACTGCACTCCAGACTGGGCAACAGAACAAATCCCTGTCTCAAGAAAGAAGAAAGAGAAGGGAAGGGGGAGGAAAGGAGAGGGGAAGGGGATGTAGGGGGTATGATGTTAATAAAGCCAAGGGGAATTAGGTTCCAAGTTTCATATGCTCCTCAGAGGTAAAGAAAGATAAAGACTGGAAAATGTACATTGAATTGAGCAAGAAGAATGATTGGTGGTCTTGGTGAGATCAGTTACAACTTAGTATTGGGCTATTCAGTGGATTTAGGAATAAAGAAAAAGTTCTAAAAAAAAATAGACTAGAAGGAAATAATTACTTCTTAATGGGTTATATGCATTTCCCAGTATTTATACTTAGGAGCTCTTTACATTTGCTGCATTGAGGATTTACTAGTTTAATTGGAAAAAATAAAATTTAAAAGCCTGTAAAGAAGTTTAAGTCTAGCCTTATCATGTTATTTCTCTTGGTTGTCAAGGGTAAGTCACTTTCAGACTTCAGACAGGAATACCAAAAGATAAGGAATATCTGAATTATATTTTCTTAGTATGCCCCTCAATTGGTTAAATATATATAGAACACCTACTGTATACCTAACCTTTTGTTAGTTGCTGTTTGGTGTAAAAGATGTCTCTCTCTCCCCCTGGGTTGCTTACAGCTTAGTCGGGGAGAGAATATGTACATATATGGAAGAATGAGGGCCTGATTGCTTTCGGTATGTTATTAAATTGTTCTGTACACACATTTAAACCATGGGATGGCCAATTATCAAGGCTCAATTGTGTAGTATGGGCAGTAAATGCAAAAAGGAGTTAATGAAGGAGAGATCAAGAAGTGTTAGAAGGACAGACTTATTAAAAAGGTAATGCTTGTGTTGTATCTTAAAGAAGGAGAAGGATGTATGTAGTAGGTTGGGTGGAAGAAGATTGAGAGAATGGAGTGAGAAGAAGCATGGAGTTAGCTGTGAGTGTGTCATGGTACGTGAGTCTCCTCGATTTGTGAAGTAATAGGAGGTTTATATAGGAAGGCAGGGCAGGGCCGGAGTATGGAGTAAGGCCAAACAGAGGGAATTAGCCTATTCGGTTGCTTATAAGGAGCAATTTTGAATTCTTGAATGGTGGAGACATATGTGTGGGAAGTTTTTACACAAGTGAAAACTGGAAGAATGAAATAGTTGGTAAGAGGTGATGAAGTTTTTTAGTAGAGAGGAAGAAAGAAGAAGGGAGAAGTGCTAATCTGAGAGAGAAAGTTCTGGTATCATGGCAAGATCTCTGGGAGTTGGGCCCTAAATCTACTACTTACTAGTTCTGTGACACTGATCAAGCAAATCCCATTACCTCTCTGGACTTCAATTTTTTCATCTGTAAAATAAGGAAATCAGGATAGGTGCCCTATAAGGTTCTTCTACCTCTTAGTTCTATGACACTCTTCATGCAATTGTGATGAAATAATTGACAAGACTTGATGTCTCAGTTGTGTACGAGAAGGTAAGCCGGTAGAGAAGGCAAGGCGACCTCAAAATTTTGAGACTGAGAGGAAATGCTCTTGGTAGAAATGGGGAAATATCAAAGAGAAGTAAGTTTAAGAGTTCTGTGCTACTTTTAAAAATCAAGGGGGAAAATCCAGCAGCTGGACAGGAGACATATTCCTGCCAATTTTACTTAGACGTTCCTAGGTACTCTTCAGTTTTTTTCAGTAGTTCCTTTTGTTGTTTTCTTTGAGGCCAAATAGGGAAAAATGAACTGGACTTTTTTTTCCCTAATATTTAATTAAATGTCTTATTGCAAATATGCATCTATTTGCTGGGCTCGTTTTTAATCCAGGCCGCTTAGTAGTGTGTTTTGTGCCCATTTTGATAAAGTGGGTGACATTTATTAATTAAATCTAAGTGTGATAGAATTCATAAAATTACTTGGAGCAGCTTTAACCATCCGTCTTGGGGATATTATACTAAGTGAAATAAGCCAGGATGGAAAGATAAATACCATGTAATCTCATTTATATGTGGAATCTGAAAAGGTTAACTCATAGAAGAGAGTAGAGTGGTATTTGCCAGGGGCTGGGAGTGGGGAGGAATGGGGAGATGTAGGTCAAAGGGTACGATTTCGGTTAGACAGGATGAATAAATTCTGGAGATCTATTATACAACATGCTGACTATGGTTAATAATAATGAATTATATACTTGAAAATTGCTAAGAGAGTAAATCTTAAATGTTCTTACTACACACACATAAAAATAACTATATACATTGGAGGATATGTTAATTACCTTGATTGTGGTATTCATTTTACAACGTATACATATATCAAAACATCACATGTACACTGTAAACATATATAATTTTTGTCAATTATACCTCAATAAAGCCAAAGAAAAAATAGTAGTCACAAAGTGTACATCAGCAATGTTATAATGCTTATAAAAAGTATTTGGAGAATAAAATTATCAGTGATTTTAAAAACAACAAACCATCTTGGGATGTCTGCTTTTGGGAGAAAACTTGGTACTTGAATTCTTAGAGCTTTTTCCTGCATGTTTTATTTATTTATTTTTCTTTATTTTTGTTTTATTTTTTTAATTTTTTTTATTTTTAGTTATTATGGGTACGTAATAGTTATATATCTTTATAGGGTACATGTGATTTTTGATACAGGCATACAATATGAATTAATCAAATCAGGGTAATCGTGGTATCCATCACCTCAAGCATTTAACATTTCTTTGTGTATTCTGCATGTTTTAAATTTGTACTTCTTAATTATGTATCTTTGTAATTGTACCATGCCTTTTTCATATGTGTAAGTCTTATTTTTTGAATTAATATCACTGCCTTCAAGAAATTATCTTATTTTTTTTAGTCCTTAGTGACCTGAACCTTAATAAATTTTGTTAACCAAGTGACTTTGTGTTTGATAGGTGATTTAATTAAAAAAATCAAAACTACCTTCAGCAGAGTACCACTTGCAGATATTTCTTGAAATGGTTCAATTTAGCTTACTTAATATATTTTTATTGCTTTTTTATTTATAGAGCTCAAAGCATGCCTGTTGTTAAGGAAGTAAAAGTACATCTTTTAGAAGATACAGGCACAGAAAAGGATGCTGTTACTCAGGAGACTAGAACTTCACCCGGTGGAATTGATTCAGCGACAACTGTGGCTGCAGCAACTGCTGCTGCCATTGCAACAGCAGCTCCCCTGATAAAAGTATATCCTTCTCCGCAGATATTCATAACTACTTTGTGAAATATAGAAATATTTATTAAGAACTGATTCTATAAATGGTTGTGTCCAACTAGTGTAGGAACATTCTAGTTCCTCTCAATTTGGAAGAATTTTCCTGTTTGTGGTTGTGTATTACTTCTCAGGTGTCGTGAAAATTACTCCTTAATCACTGTGATGGCACTAGTGAATATAGAACTTTCCCAGTATTTAGCACATAAAGTCCTGCATCGTGGGAAAGACCTTGAGTCCTGGGCAACCTGGATGATCAGTCATTTTTACTTGAGAGCTAAAAGGAACATTAGAGATCATCTATGCCTAGGCTGTCACTTTGTAAACAGAGGGATCGGTGAGAGTAGGCACAAGATTCTAGAGTTAGTAAGTGGCAGAGCCACGACTAGAACTCAAGGCTGCTGACTTAATGCAGCCTTATGTTAGTTGAGTATTAAAAGCTACTTTGTTTTGCTATTTCCTTCTTTTAAATTTCCGTTTAAGTATCTTATTTCTGGCATTATAAAATTCTATGTGACAATTTATTATAATTTTTTTGAGAGGAAACATTTAAGGTTAGCTATCTTCTGCCTTTTATTTCTGTGACTCTAAAAATAAAGCATTAAATCATCAAGATTTAGTGGGTAAAAACTCTAATTTGATCATTTCTCAATACCAGTTGCTTTAAATAACCTTTCCAGTAACTGAACATATTTTCTGTATCTTTATAAAATATGAAATATTATTTTGATATTTTTATTGTTATAGGTACAGAGTGATTTGGAAGCAAAAGTCAATTCTGTTACAGAATTACTTAATAAGTTGCAGGAGACTGATAAACACTTACAACGTGTTACAGAGCAGCAAACAAGCATTCAGAATAAACATGAGAAACTACATTGTCATGATCATGAAAAACAAATGAATGTGTTTATGGAGCAGCACATCAGGCATCTTGAAAAATTACAGCAACAACAAATAGATATTCAGGTATCTATAATACAGCCAGTATACATTTCATAATCTTTTATCACTTGGATCTCTAAGGTAATATTCTCTGATAACTGCAGTAACAAATTAAATCATAACAGTTTTAGTTCTTAAATCATGATTTGTTTGTTCTTCTTTCTTCCCCTCTAAGTGGAGAACTCTGCATGTTGTAGCTCAAATGTTACTAATTCTGAGAGAGAGATCTCTCTCTCTAATTAGTTTTTCTTCCTTTTGCAGTATTTTTGCTCATACCATTTTTAAAGCACTTTTTTTTTTTTTTTTATGAGACAGAGTCTTGTCTGTTGCCCAGGCTAGAGTGCCGTGGCATCAACCTAGCACACAGCAACTCCTGGGCTCAAACAATCCTTCTGCCTCAGCCTCTTGAGTAGCTGGAACAACAGGCACACACCACCACGCCTGGCTTATTTTTTCTATTTTTAGCTGCCCATCTCATTTTTTCTATTTTTAGTAGAGGCAGGGTCTCCCTCTTGGTCAGGCTAGTCTTGAACTCCTGACCTCAAGTGATCCTCCCACCTCAGCCTCCCAAAGTGCTAGGATTACAGGTGTGAGCCACTGCACCTGGCCTAAAGTGCTTAAATTGCATTGCAATTATTGTTTGTATCAGTGGTTCTTAGCCTGGGAATGTGCATCAGAATTATGTGGACAGCTTTATAAAAGTGTACATGCTCAGACCTCTCAGAGATTTTGAGCCAGTAGGTCTGAGGTGATGGAATCACTGAAAGTTCTGAAATGATCCTGATGCACACCCTTGGATAGAGCCACCTAGTGTACATATTTACTTCTGCATTTCATTAATTAAAAGAATGAATATTTTTTAGTGCCTTTTAAATATGATGCCCTGGGTTATTATAAAAAGAGCTATCCTCACAAGGAGATGATAACATACTTTCCTATTTATTTTAGAATTTCCAAGTCCTAGAAACTACGCAGAACTTCATAAACTTTTTTTTTTTTTTTTTT